TTACTAATAGCGAACATTGTTACTACTAGTAAGGCACTTGTTACTAGTGTGAGAAATTCAGTGTCCCTAAAGATCTAGGAACCAAATCATTAGGGCCAGCGTGAGCTATCCTGCGTCCGGTTACTAGACGGTCATTTTCCTAGCAGCTCATTGCTCCCTTATTTCATTAAGTATGCGCCTACTTCATTCAGAGAAAAGTTCGCTCCTAGCGCTCACACTAATGATTTGAAACTAAGAGCGATGGCCTCCAACCCCACAGCGATGGCTCCAACCTACTAGAGTCCTTTAGCCAAGTTATTGTAAAGGTTTAGCAATATCCTTGGGATTTAAGGAAAAGATGCTTCTAGGTCCTAGGTTGGAGGCCATCGCTACTAGTAACAAGAAACTACTAGTAGCTCCTGGCATTACTAGGAACAAAAGCTGCTAGTTTGGAGGCCGTCGCTCTCCTTGAAGCGAAATCTTCACATCAAGCAGCTGCTAATCAGCTTTCCCCGTTCGTAGCGTCCTTGCTCCTAGTAGTCAGGCCAGGAGCCCCTAGTAGCGTTCTTGCTCCTTTTGTATTTGGACAATTGGAAGGACGTGGCGGCAACTCAAGACTTGAGCAATTTGCTGAAGCAGAACAATGGAGGCATAGAGGCAGGAAAGCATCTCAACCTTTCCTACTCGTGTCTGATATTTCCACCCTTGCAGTTTATCAAGTCAGGGCAGTGCTCTTTATCATGCTGTCTATCGCCCATGTTTCCAACTTCTACCTGCTCAAGCTGTGAGGTGAATGAAGACGAGCTAGAAACTCAAGAGTTGCAACAAATACGCACAGGGGAGGACTGAGAGTTGCTCATGACTGAGAGCCACTCTTGTCATGGCTACACATGGCTAAAGAGTAGCTACGCACCTGGCAGGATGCTATTGCATACTTCGCAAAGAGCGGCAGCGTTTCAAAGACAAAGTCTGGTCTTGAGAGTGCTTTCGAAAGGGCATAGAATTCCATAGAATCCAGAAACATGAAAAAGAAGAACCAAAGCAAATAACACAAACAAACTCGGACAAACTCCGTGCTTCCTTTGAAGCTTCTGATCCAAGACTCCTCTATGCAAACCGCGTGGAGTCGTGCACTTATGCAGCACTTTTCGATCCGATCAATCGAATTTCTCAAACATCTAGGAGCAAGGACGCTACTAGTAACAAGTGCATCGCTACTAGTAACAAGTGCCTTACTAGTAGTAACAATGTTCGCTATTAGGAACAAGAACTAATTGTATTTTGTGCGTGAGCTATCTTGCGTTCATATGTAGTAGCTTAGGAGCAAACGAGGTTTCTCCCTTACTAGATTAACTCGGTAGTCGGGAGTCTCTACTTAATTAAGTAGGGAGGCAGGCAAAAACGAAGCTTCGAAGTGGTGATGCTGGACCTCTGAGGAGTGATCATTTTGCTCCATATGAGCTCATAGTTGTCCCAGAAGACAAGGCCGTTCGTCAGACTGTCGACGACTTGTTTCTTTTAAGTACGACTCTTTTTCGTCGGATTTCCAGGTCAATCCGGAATACTTTACGATTTCGGCCACTGGTGACTCAAGCTGCACTGGTGACTCAAGATGTTGACTGTGCGATCACTTTCGAACTCTGAGGTATTGTGCATGTTGCACCTGGTCTCTTGTCGGAGTGCATTTTGCTGACAGAATGGTCTTCTCCTCAATCAAAACCATACTTTAGAACGAGGAAAACCTAATAGGGATGGCCTCCAACCTACTTGCGATGGCCACCACCCTGGAAGAACTAAGAGATGACGAGACAAAGGTAAGACTCCTTCAAAAAGCAATCCTTTGCTATTCGCTGCAAAACCCTTCATTGAACAAGTCAGCCTTACCACTTTCTTGCACTTGCCTAAAAGACGTATGCTCGCTGCACGAAGGATGCATCAGAGTTTGATGTTCCGTGTGCTGCAATCAATGAACTTCTTCAAGCACTATATCCACAAGAAGGCTGTTTGAGAGATTCTTTTTTTTGATGAAACGCATAGACGTTAAGAGACTGAGTCAGTTTGATGAAAGCTGTTCTTCTCTTCAGGTGATCACGCAGTGGCGCACCAATGCGCGTTACGAGGAGAGCCAAGAAAGGTTGTGACAAGGTTTACAGCAAAGACGCAAAGAAAGAAGGCAAAAGGACAGAATAGAGGGTCTAAATCTACAGGTCTAAGAAAGAAAAGCAAAGGAAAGGAACGGAATGGAAAGGACAAAAGAAAGAACGAAAGAACGAAAGAAAGGCAGAAAGAAAGAAAGGACAGGAAGGACAAGAAAGAAAAAGAAAAGAAAGATAGAAAGAAGGATAATAGATAGAAATAAAGATAGAAAGACAGACAGACAGGCAGACAGACCGACGGACAGACCGACGGACAGACAGACAGAAAGAAAGAAAGAAAGAAGGAACGGACCAATAAGAAAGATTCAAACAAATACAATAACAAATAGTTATTGTGGGGTATTGCCGCTAAGGTGAACAAAAGTACACTTCGGGGTAGTGACATGAGCATTTCTAAGATTCTTGGATACAGGACTCACTTTCTTTTGATCATAAGAAAGCAGGAAAAAGGATTGAACAAAGAAAGAAAGACTGCAGAGTGTCCAAAGAAATAGAGGAAGGAGAAGAAGTGCAAAAACGTTCAATGAAGCAGCTTGAGAAACAGATCAGGAAAGAACGAACAAGAGTAGTAGCAAGAATCTACTAGTAACAAAGGGCATCGAGTAGCTTCTGGCCTTACTACTAGTAGCAAGAAGCTACTCGTAGAAAGGGCATCGCAAGGAAAAACAGTTAATGGGTCTAAAGAGAACAGGACAAGAAAATGGACGAGCGAAGGGTCTAAAGGTCAAATAAGCAGAGAAACATAGCAGAAGCGCTTTTTTGTCCATTGCTATTAGTAACTCAAAAAGAGATGTGTTTGTGTTTAGAAGCTACTAGTAACAAAGGGCATCGCTACTAGGAAGAAAGGACGCTACTAGGAACAAAGGGCATTATTGCTAGGAGCAAAAGCGCTACTAGGAACAAGTGCATCGCTTCTAGTAACAAGTGCCTTACTAGTAGTAACAAGGACGCTACTAGGGGCTCCTGGCATCGCTGCTAGGAGCAAAAACGCTACTAGGAACAAGTGCATCGCTTCTAGTAACAAGTGCCTTACTAGTAGTAACAAGGACGCTACTAGGGGCTCCTGGCATCGCTACTAGGAGCAAAAACGCTACTAGGAACAAGTGCATCGCTTCTAGTAACAAGTGCCTTACTAGTAGTAACAAGGACGCTACTAGGGGCTCCTGGCATCGCTACTAGGAGCAAAAATGCTACTTTTGAGTTTAATCTAACGAGTTTGGAGAACCGACATCCAGTCCGGAGTGTCAGGTGTATTGCCACAGAAGACAGCGGCTCACTAGGTCAGTCCCGTGCTGTGCCATGACCGTCTTGAAAGCAGTTCTGCATGGCAAAAGCGAGGATTCTGCTTTGCAACTTAGAAAAATGAGTGGCAAACATGAGAGTGATGCGTGAGACTTATACAACTAGTATGTTCTTTAAGAGTAAAGCGATTGTCCTTTCCTGCTTTGACCTTTCTTTGGACCTCTATAGACAACTCATTCTTTTTGATTTGCATTTTCTTTGAGCATTTCTTTCTTTCTTCCTTCCTTCCTGTCCTGCTTTGTTTTTTCCCCAGATAGCGAAGCTATGGGGTTCTTACTTCAAATAACAATGAGTTGCTCGTGCGCGCTTTCGAGACAGGTTGCTCTGGGCGCCGTTGCTGGGTGCTGGGTGTGCGTGGTGGACTGTGAGCTGGCTGCGCGCGTGGTGCAAACAGGGTGCGGGCGCTGGGTGCTGGTGCTGGGTGCTGTCAGCTGGCTGTGCGCGTGGCGGAAACAGGGTGCCGGGTGCTTGTGCGCGTGTGGTGCTGTGAGCTGGCGTGCCGGTGCTGGGTGCTGGTAGGGTGCTGCCGGCTTCCTGGTGCTCGTTGTGTGTGTGGTGCAGATTGGGTGCTGGTGCCGGGTGCCGGTGCTGGCGCTGGCCGTGCGCGTAGTGGAGACACGCCACGCTGTATTGCGTGAAAGAATTGGAGCTGCTGCCAATGCAGGGTGCAGCCCGAAAATATCTTTTGCATGCTTTTGCTATCTGGGGTCTATGCTGGAGTAATCCTTCTTGTTTCTTTCGATGAGTTTCTTGAACCGAAATACAAAATCTGTCATTTGTACCTGAAACACTTTGTTGCAGGTGCTGCTTCTTTGCAAAACCAATGTTTGTGGATTCCTTGGTCCAGGTGCACCGCAGCGCACGTCCGACCGAGCGGTATCCTTGGTTGACTACCGAAAATGAAACAAGGACGCTACGATCGGGGCTCCTGGCATCGCTACTAGGAGCAAGAACGCTACTAGGGGCTCCTGGCCTTACTACTAGGAGCAAGAAACTATTAGAAACAAGAATTAGAATTGTCAACCTACCAGGGTTTAGGGCATTCCTTACCTGGGAGGGTCATTACCTGTAATTTCCGAAAATGCCAATCCAAGTCAGAATTCCAGTTTTCGGAAGCCATCGCTCTTGGGTTGGAGGCCACCGCTAGTAGGTTGGAGGCCATCGCTTTTAGGTTGGATGCCATCGCTAGTAGGTTGGAAGCCATTGCTTATTAGGCTGGAGGCCATTGCTATTCGCTTGGAGGCAATCGCTATTGGGTTGGAGGCCATTGCCTATTAGGTTGGATGCCATCGCTCTTAGGTTGGAGGCCATTGCTAGTAGGTTGGAGACCCTTGCTAGTAGGTTTGAGGTAGTAGTCAGAACCGCGGTTTGGTTTCCTTCGCAGGTGAACAGCCTCGTCCGTGAAGTGGAAGATGTGAAGGTTCGAAGGCACTCAGAATGAAAACAGCTTCACTTGGTGTTTCGGCCAGGTCATGCACGTTGATCAAAACTGCATCTACTCAATTCAGGAGAGGCCATTTGTGGAAGATAACTTGTTTTTGAAGCATTACTCTCTTCAATTTTTCAGTTTGCTTTTGGCCTGGTTGGATGAGGAATTTATGGAGAAGCAACAGCATATCCGGGCAAGTCCAGCCGCACCTGCCTTGTGTAGATTCTCTTGACCAAAAGGAGTCAACTTATGTGGCACACCATACGACTACCTCTGCTACCTCGACTTTTTCTTCCTTTTTTTGTTCTTTGTTTAACATAGCGATGGCCTCCAACCTTGAAGAAATTCAGCTGCCAGGTGAATTCAGCACAAAAAGATTTCGAACAGAAGCATGAAGCTGCGGTGTGGTGCTCAGGAGCTCAGTTAGGGCGGCAAAGAGACTTGTCAGAGATTCTTTGCGCTTGACAGGCCTCTCAGCATTGGGCATTCAAATCCTCCGTTTGATAATTGAATGTTCAAGCTGAACTTCTCTTCAGTTGAATTGCGGGCATAACTTTGGGAAATCCCATGTCCTGTCGGTCTTAGATTGGCATCATTGATCGCTTGATTGCCACGGTCCAGTGCTCCTTCCAGACTGAAGCTGCAGTCGAACAGCACTCAGTCAAGTTTAAGCTACTAGTAACAAAGGGCATCGCTACTAGGAGCAAGAAGCTACTAGTAGCTCCTGGCCTCACTACTAGTAGCAAGAAGCTATTAGTAACAAGGCACCTTTCGTTTGCATTCACCGAGAAATTCAGATCTGACACCTGCTATGAAAGCGTTGCTGGCATGAGCTGTAGGCGTGTCATAAGTGAGGTGTTTCTTTGAGCGTTGTCATCATCTACGTAGTGATCGTGATGGTTAAAGGACTATGAAAAAACTAGGAGCAAAGGGCATCGCTACTAGGAGCAAGGACGCTACTAGGGGCTCTGGAAGCGAAGAAAAAGACACATCCATCAAAGCCGTTCGTCGTATCCCGAGGATCAGTTGGCCGGCTCCAAGTCTTGAGCTGAGCAAGTGTGAGAGGCTGCAAGTGTAAAAGAAACAATATTGTTTTTTTCTTTAATACTTTTAAAACATGACACACTCTACAATATCTGTTTAAAACATTTTCTTTGGACCTCGAGACTACTTTGAGTCCCTTTGTTTTATCTATTACTTTCTTCACTCAGAAGATGAGGTCGAAGTCCATGGTGCAGGAAAAAGAGGAGGAGCTGCCAGAGATCGATTTCTTTTGTTTTCACTATTTTTTCTTTTTTCATTCCTTTTAGTAGACACTTCTTCTTCTTCTTTCCTTCTTTCTTTTCTTTCTTTCGTTTTTTATTTCTTTCCTTTTTTCAGATCGTTTTCAGCTAGGCACGTGAGAAAGCCCGCCTCTTGAGAATCGCAAAGCGGGATGAAGAGATGCTTGGTGCGCCCGGGAAATGCAAGTCCTCAAGCCTTTTGCGATTTCTTTTCTTCTCTAAAACATGCCACAACAAACGTGCTTTCTTCATAGGTCATTTCATGCTAACTCATTCGTTTCATATCCCTTTCAGCCAATCCCTTATACCTTTGTCAACAGGGAGATTGTTAGTAATGCAGTGGAGTCCAATCACGGGACTTCCAAAAAGACTTAGGAGCAAGAAGCTACTAGAGGCTCCTGGCCTTACTACTAGCAACAAGGACACTACTAGGAGCAAAGGGCATCGCTACGAACGGAGCAAGGACGCTACTAGGAACAAGTGCCACGCTTGCGTTCATCGTTGATGCAAACAATCACAACGAATCGGTCTGCACATCTCCATGCAACCGCGACACTGTGGAAGAGCTTCTTGTGAAAACAGGTGATTGCATCCGCCTCATCGATTATATGTTCCAGGCTGGGTTCTGTTGCTTTCTTTAGCGCTCTTGTGGAATACGATTTTGTGTGGAAGGTGCAAGGCGTTGACATTTTGGAGCAAAGACAGTATGTAGTAAGGATGCTAGTAGCTACTAGTAACAAGTGCCTTACTAGTAGTAACAAGAAGCTAAAGGTCTAGACCAAAGACCCAACCGGTCTATTTCACTTCATCATTCCCGTCTCTCAAGGTCGCTAAAGGTCTCTTTTTGGGTCTAATGAAAAGCAATACAAATCACACACAAAGAACAAACGAAAGCTCCAAAGGTCCCTTGCTACTGGCAGCTTCTTGTTACTAGTAATGCCCTTGTAGCGATGCCCATGTTACTATACTAGTAGCTTCTTGTTACTAGTAGCTACTTGTTCCTAGTAAGGCCAGGAGCCCCTAGTAGCGAACCTTGTTCGGCAAAATAACTCAGGCATCGCTGGTGCAGACGGTCTATGAAGCTGTGAAGCAGTTCTGGGGCCGCCTGGACCAGAAGGCTGGCAATGTGCAGTTACTTACAAGTTCGTTTGTTACACTTTTTTTTAAACATCATAGAACGCTTTCTTGTTACTAAGAAAGCAAAAAAGGCAGGAGAACGTGAAAGAAGAAGGTCGAACCCTCCGAAGAAAAGAAAAGAAGACAGGAGAGAGAAAAGTCTATCCAAAGGTCTGGACAACGGAAGAAAAACAAAAAAACGGACATAAAGAAAGGGCGGACGAACAAGAAAAGGTCTGAATGTCTAAAGGTCTAAAGAACAATTTGATTACCCCAGCAAGAGATCCCCAACAACAAGAAGATAAAGAAGTAAGAGCACACACACATGCGAATCAGGCGCAAAGCGCTGCAAAACGCGTTGCAATTTCCCAGCACTCAAAGATAGAATGAGGTGCCTCATCCCAGTATGAGCCCAATATAATCATCGAGTTTTGTCCCTGTTTACTTCACATGATGCTTGGTAATGTTCTGTAGAAACCGCGTCCTAATAGCATCCACAATGCAGCAGACTTGCGCTTAACATGAAAACCACTGCCGACTTCTTGCTCAAAATCAATTCCATTTTTCAACCGCATGCTGAGCTCAAAGCGCTGCGAGACTTGCACAAAGAATTCGACGTCGGGTGACACAGTATTCTTGGCCTGAACTCGTCTTCTTCCCTTCTTTGGTGGCCTTCTTCTAGCGAGTCATGAGCATGCAGAGCACAGGAAGAGTGACTCTTCGTCTGCCCCACCTTTGAACTCAGCCAAAAGAAAATAAACACCTGTGCTCACTCAGCAAAGTCCGGTCCGCACTCCGACTGCCATCCCCTTTCAGCAGCAACTTGAAAGCTGCGTAGATCTTCGTCAAGATCAGCCGGAAAGGAATCCTCACCAAGCCCACTAAGTCGCTGTTGCACCTCAGCACGGGGGAGCCACACGGCTAGACAGTCAGCCAACGCGTGGTTGAGAGCGGGAGGGTACTCTTTCAAGACCGCAGTGGCATAGAACTGCGTCAAGGCATTTTTGCCCATTCGTAAAGGAGGTGGCATGGGGGAACACGGAACACTGGTACTTGGCAAAGTGCGCTTCCGGTTCCGTCATGGAGCCCAGCAAGAAGCGAGTCGGCTTGGGGCTATGACCTCCGTAGAGGCCTTGCCAAATCAAATCACTGCAGTTACCTGGGAAACACTCAAGGATCCCAATAGCAAAGCATAACAAAGCCACGCCTTGCAACACAGTTAAAATCGAAGGGTAAGCAAAGTTGACACATCTACCCTTAGATTATATGAGTATTGTAAATCCAGTGTCCGTCACATGCCCTGCACAAAATCGGGATCTTGCATCACCAAAAGCATACTCGGGTTACCACTACGAATGTGAGCCCCTTTGGCACACATTTTTCAGAGTGTACTCTTCTATATAAATGACATATTTTTTGTTAGAGGCTTACTCCTGTATGCGAATATATATATATTTAAATATTTCCATCTATTTAAATATTTCCATCAACATTTTTTTGTCTTTGCAGACGTCTTTGCAGAGGCACTCTTTTTGTTTGCAGAAAGATGTATTTTGTTACGAGGCATGTGAGACATTCTTTCGGGCTACATTCTTTAATGCAATGTTGCCCTGGTAGATCAATTTTGGTGCGGAAACTAGTTTGCAAGCAAAAACACATGCACACACGCTTCAAACCCTATTGTTTCTAGGAAAAACACAGCCATTGTCCAAAACTTTTGATACAATTGCCAAGGAACTCATGTTTTTCAAAACTGGTGTATCTCCAAACGACGCTCGTTTCAAGAATACTACCAAGATTGCACCCACAGGCAGGAAGGCATCTTGCTTCAAAGCAGGAATGCAATTTTGAGAAAACCATTTTTATATGGGAAAGTGTCAAAGACATCGAATGCCAAGCGATCTGGGAAGTTTTATACAAAACCAGATTTGGGAAGATCCTAATTAAGAGTGATTGCCGCCACCCTTCTGGCGATGGCCTACTAGCGAACTTTTTCTTTGCAGATTGTTTATTCTTGAACAGAGCAAAGGGCAGGAAGCAGAAGTCTGATCACTGATCCACCAGAACAAAAAGCTATGATCCAGCCCAGACCAAGACATGGTTTGTTTCTGCTGTCAAATCAGAAAAAGTCAGACCAGTAGTAAGGCACTTGTTTCTCATAGCGTCCTTGTTACTACTAGTAAGGCACCTGTTACTAGTAGCGTGGCACTTGTTCCTAGTAGCGAACATTGTTACTACTATGGTGCCTCATAGGCATAGTTTGTGGCACTCTACAAAGGCAAGCACCATACGGCTCCGCCCACCAAGTGCTTTTCCTCGTGCCGAAATCCACTTCGGAAGACCGAGAAGAACGAGTCACCTGGCCGTCGAGACCCAAACAGGAACGGCCTCGCTAAATAGTGCCCTCGAAACCTAGTAGTAACAAGTGCATCGCTACTAGGAACAAGTGCCTTACTAGTAGAAACAATAAGCTAATAGTTTCTTGCTCCTAGTAGGCCAGGAGCGCCCCGAGCTACTAGTAGCGTCCTTGCTCCTCGTAGCGATGCCCTTTGCTACTAGTAGTTTCTTGCTAGCAAGCAATGGCTATACTTTGTATAAACCTTTTCTTTCCTTTCTCTTCCGCTTTCTTTGTGTTCGAATAGCGATGGCCTCCAACCTGGCAAGTTGCTCTAAAGGTCCATGAATCTTAGAACATGTGGGCCGGAGGCCGTAGAGGCTTTTTAACTATTAGCTTCTTGTTACTACTAGTAAGGCACTTGTTCCTAGTAGCGATGCACTTGTTCCTAGTAGCTTATTGTTTCTAATGGCTTTACAAGACAGAGGTGACTCAAAACCAGTGCGTTTTTGTAGACTTAAAAACCGTGGAAGAAGACCTTCCATCAGAAAGGCCTTTAGAACGAAGTATTGTCAAGATTCAAGACCAAGTGGCGCGGTCGTTGTTGCGGTCGTTTGAAAAGTGAGAAATGGTCTAAAGAAAACCAAAAAGAAAGGTAAATTGGAAAGCAAGGTCCAAAAAAGACACCATAAAACAGAAAGCACTTTAAGCGAGAAACAAGAAAGGTCTTCAGAAGGGAAAAGGCACGACGTGTTGTCATGATTCAAGATTCATGACCTGTGGTCGTTTAAATCATGCTTCTAGTTACTAGTAGCATCCTTGTTCCTAGTAGTAAGGCCAGGAGCCCCTAGTAGCGATGCCCTTAGTTACTGCCTTCTGCGTCCCAGAACGTCGGGAAGCTCTTTGTCATTTCAGTGGATATGACCGATCAGGCACGGTCTTGTTTCTACTAGTAACAAGTGCCACGCTAGTAGTAACAAGTGCCTTACTAGTAGTAACAAGAAGCTATTAGACTTAAACTTAATTTTGAATTAATAGCTTCTTGTTACTACTAGTAAGGCACTTGTTACTAGAAGCGATGCACTTGTTCCTAGAAGCCATTTCAGTGGATATGACCGATCAGGCACGGTCTTGAAACATTTTTTGGCTTTCAGTGTTTTGCTTGTGCCAAGCCAACTGGGCAAGTCGACGGAATGGAAAATACAGTTCTGAGGCGATTGTTACTAATAGGGTCCTTGTTACTACTAGTAAGGCACTTGTTACTAGTAGCCATGCACTTGTTACAAATAGCGTCCTTGTTACTACTAGTAAGGCATTTGTTCTGAGGCAATTGTTCTTGATCCTGGAATCTACGATTTCCTGGACATGCTGCAGGGGACACTACCTCAGAGGGATGGACAAACGATTCGTTTTTTTTGTAGAAAAACAGCACTAGCGATGGCCTCCAAACATTTTTGTAGGACCTCCCCTAGTGGTAATGGCCTCCAACCTAATAGCGCTTCTTTTAAGACGTATCAAAAACTTTTCTAAACACTCAACATTCTCATTTGTAGATTTTTTTTGGAGGGGAGGGGGATTAGGAGACTGTTTGCAGTAAGGGGTAAGCAGTAGCAAGGAAGCTACCCGGACACATAGCCCTTCGCACGGATGATTTGCTTCGTTTTGAAACAAAAACAAAAAAGGGCAATAACAGAAAAGGAAGGAAGGCAGGAAGGAAGGAAGAAAAGACATACAGAAAGAAAAGGGAAGGGAAGGGAAGGTCAAAAAAAGGAAAGGAAAGAAAGAAACAGCCAAGCGCTATTCGGAAGTGGAGTTACTAGCCCTTCCGAGTGAAAGAACGCTGTTTTGAACTTAAGCACCCATCACTACGGAACAAGAAGGGTTCTTTGTTGCTTTCAAACCTTTTTTGGCGACCCTGTTCCTAGTAGCGATGCCCTTTGTTCCTAGTAGCTTCAGCCCTGAGGATTTCGGAGGGTTGGTTCCAGACGCTCAGCAACTTGCAGTCAATGACCTGCGTCCGCCAGCTGGAGTCCTGGAATGATGGTGGAATCCCACCGCCTCAAGCGGTTTTCAGTTTTCATTCAAGCACCCCACTCTTGTGTAATTCACCAGCAAAAAACAGCGAAGGTTTTTCCAGAATGCATTCAATCAGCACAATCTCAAAGACTTTGCTCAACTCACTGCCAGTTTGTTCCAGTTTGGGAACGCACACTTCACTGACGCAGTTTGTCGATTGGACGCCTTGATTGGCACGAAATCGACAAGACTTGGACAAGTGGATTGAACGCAAAAACCTGTCAAACATGCTTTAAACACGCTCTTAGGTTGGAGGCCATCGCTAGTAGGTTGGAGGCCATTGCTATTAGTAACTCATTGCTGTTAGTGTTTATTCTATTTTAATTAATGCGACCCGTTTGTCCAGTCCAGATCATCCCGGGTGGATGTAGCGGCGTTCAACGCGTAGCGTTGCAGGTATGACCAATTCTGCAAAGTGCAGAATCACCAGACCGTGAAGGAGGGAATGATTGGAGAGAGAGGGGAGAGACAAGTATGGCATGAAAAGAAAAAGAACGGTTTAATGAGTTTAATCAAGTCTAAAGAAAAGACAAGAAGCTACAAGTAACAAGGGCATCGCTACTAGGAGCAAGGATGCTTCTTATTCACAGCTTTGTGCTCTCGATTTCATCTAAATGGCCATCCACTCTTTAAGAAGCTAGTAGGAACAGGTGCCACGCTTCTAGTAACAAGTGCCTTACTAGTAGTAACAAGAAGCTATTAATTTAATTCAAATTCAAATTTAATTCTAATAGCTTCTTGTTACTACTAGTAAGGCACCTGTTACTACTAGCGATGCACTTGTTCCCAGTAGCTTCTTGTTACTACTAGTAAGGCACTTGTTTCTACTAGCTTTGTGCTCTCGATTTCATCTAAAGGGCCATCCACTCTTTAAGGCTCGAGTTCACAAGGATTCCTTCTTTCATCGAAGGGGCAGATCCAACAGGGCTCTTGCTTCGAAAGCGGGTGATCCAACGGGAGCAGAAGATGCATAGACCATAGATCATTCATAAGTAGATACATAAATAGAAGTTATATTTTTACAGATATAGGTTTATATATAAGCTACTAGGAACAAATACATCGCTAGTAGTAACAGGTGCCTTACTAGTAGTAACAAGAAGCTATTAGAATTAAATTTGAATTTGAATTAAATTAATAGCTTCTTGGGGGCTAAGGCCCCCAAGCCGTCCCAAAACGGTCGTGGCCTGGGCTGGAGGCGTCCCTAAGGAGGCCCTAAGGTCCCCCTTCGCCGCCCCGCTCTTGGAACGAAAAGGAAAGCAGAGAAAGGTCGAGAAGAGAACAAGAAACGTCAAGAAACCATAAAAAGCAGGAAGGAAATACCAATCCCATCCTATTGAAGAAAAAGGTGTATCAAGTTAGGTCTTTAATTCCACTTCTTGCGGCAAGACGTCCTCCAGCTTGAGCTATTCGCTTCGGAGTCGAACTTGGCAGGACATCATGATGAAAGACAGGGTCTATTTAGGCACGGCTGGGCAGGTCGCCCAAAAGAGTAATAACAAGAAGCTACTAGGAGCAAGGGCATCGCTACTAGTAACAAAGGGCATTACTGCTAGTAGCAAGGACGCTACTAGTAGCTCCTGGCATTAGTACTAGGAACAAGAAGCTACTAGGAGCAAAGGGCATCGCTACTAGGAGCAAAGCAGGTCTATGTCCACATTTTTTGAGAGATTGAACAAAAGAAGGTGTTGGGACAGGGGCCCAAACGGTTTTCATATCCTTTGTTTTATTCGTTCTTTTAGATTGTTTTGGTGCTTTCATGTGCGCACAGCATTTTGAAAGTATGCATTCGCCCCTCCAGGATATCAAGAGAACATTCAAGATTTCATCACTGGAGCCGTGGAAGATGCACAGGCGATAGTTCGCCATGAGGAGAATAAGAGGAGAGTAAGGTCCAAAGTTCTCAAGGTCTAAAAGGAAAAGGCAAGAGAAGAAAGGCAAGATAACGCCGTTTTGCAAATTGTCCACAACCAATTTGGCAGGCCAATTCCAACAGCACATTTGAGCGCTACAGGAAGATCTTCGAGCATCATCTGCTTGGTTCACAAGCAGCTGTTTCCAGCTGTCAACATATCAGCAAGGAAAAAACAGTTGACTCAATTCTCAAACGGTATATAAGATATATGCAAACAGATGTAAGACGGAACAATCTTCTTACATTTTCTTACCTCCTACACTACTCGTTCCACACGGATGCTTTTTGGACAACACGTCTACATCGGCCAGGTTTGGAAAAGCTTGGGACAGCGCAGCCTTCAATGAGAAGGCCTCGCATGATTATACACTCCTTCAAGTTGAGTGTAATTGTAAGTTTTTTCAAAGAATGAGAGAAAGGAAAGGAAACGCTACTAGCGGCTCCTGGCCATACTACTAGGAGCAAGGACGCTACTAGGGGCTCCTACCATCGCTACGAGGAGCAAGAAGGAAGGCCTGAAGGAAGGTCTGAAGGTCTAACAAACTATCAGGTCTGAACGCTGAAGAAATCAACGGAAGCAAAAAGAAAGGTCTTCAAGATATCCAAAGGGAAATGAACGCCAGGTCGGAAGGGCTGAAGGAAGGAAGGGAAAGGGAATTACTTAAAGGTGGAAAGAACGAAACGAAAGAAGCAAGAAAAAGATGTCAAGAAAGGAAGGGCGGAAGGAAAAAAGATGGCGAACATAGAGGAGGAGGAACCACAAGACAGAAGAAAAGAAAGGAAGAAGAAAGGTCTAAGGATCAAAGGAGAGATAAAGAAAAAGACAGAAAGGACAAAGGACAGGTGTAAAGGAACACCGAAGAGAAAGACGGAAAAGAAAGACAACCATGAAACGTGTGGCTTTTTCAAAGTGCGAATCCCCTCATTTTCACATGATGTGAGCATAGGTGTGACATACACCACTTAGCACCAACAAACGCTGTTCGTGGCTCAAGAAAAGCATCGTCCGTTTTTTCCCTTGAAGGAAACTCAGGTTATGAGCCCAACGACCTGTTTTTCCATTTGAAGTCCACCCCTGTGGTCCAGGGTTGTTGGCCGCCATGAGTGGCTTCGCTGGGCGGCGGCGGCGCTCCTCCCGCGAAGGAGAGCGCCTGCAGGATCCTGAAGATCGAGAAGGGCGACTTCGAGTGGGCGCGGCAGATGAACGGCTGCAGGCGCTGCTGGAAGAGCGAGAGGGCAGAGCAGCATCGGTGCCGGCGAGGACGGCAGCGGTTCGAAGGCTGGCTGCAGCTCCAGAGCAGGCCGGGCAAGCGGCAACTACATCCTCGGCGAGAAGGCCGAGCAGAGAACCACAAGGTCAGGTTATGGGCCAGCCAAATGGGCCAGGACAAGTCACGATTGAGTCGGCACCGGGACTGCTGGACTCGGTCAGGCAGTCTTTAGATGTGTTGCAACGAGCTTTTGGTGGAAATCCTCAAGGTCAAGGGCTACTTGCACCCCTACTTCAACACCACGATCTTGGACATCTAGCCGGTACCGGTCCTGGAGTTCATGCTGGGCATGGGAGTGTCTTTGGATCACCACAGTGTCCAATTCCACCCCGAGGAGGACCTTTGAGCTATGGCCCCACGATTGAATTGGGACCACAACCGAGGGTTCTGGAACCTTATCCCATGGCTACCCCTCCCCCAATGAGTGGGGCGAATGTCAACCCTTTTTGGAGCACACAAGCACGAGCTCATCCTGGTGAAAGTGGGGTGGTGCCTGAGGGGATGCCGCAAGGGGAAGTCAGAAGGTCGCCAAACTATGTTGATGTGGAGGCCATCAGGGAGAAGGTGCTCAGGGAAGCCGAGAATCTCTTTGCAAAGGAGATCAAGAAGGCCACTGGTGGAGCAGAGTCATCATCCTTCGAGTCGGTGCCAAGTGCTGACCGAGAGCCTGGGCGGTCAACGGTCGGGGTGATGGGACCGGGCGGAGGAGGAAATGGGGGCGAATCGACTCGCCGCGATGGTCGAGGGTCTCAACCACATGGTCTTGAGCGTCCACCAGGTTTGCAGAAGGAGGGAGTGTGTGAGGGTCCGTTGAACAGGTCTGAACCGCCTCAGGGGACCATGAATGAAGTGTTTAGAAGCTTGGAGTTACCACCTCTACCATCTCCTGGCAGCGATGGTGCTTCGCTGGCTTTCGGCGATTGGCTGACGGTGGCGATGCCTCTCATGTCAGATCTGTCATCCTCTGCGAGGGGTTGGTGGCAAGCAAACATCATGGAGGCGGAGGCGCTGTATGAGACTTGGCTGAAGTTGAAGCCGCTGGAGAGGCTGAGGCTTAAGGTTGATCGGCCTTTGCACCCCAGTTATGAACGAGTTGAGCACCGGGGAGTGACTATCTTGTTGGGGGTTCTTCCCGATCAAGTTCGAAGGGATGTCATCGCCTCTAGAAAGGTGAGCTGCCTGGGAATTCTGTTTCGGCTGTACACCATCTTTCAACCAGGGGGTTCAGCTGAGAGAACTGCGCTCCTCAAGAGCATCACCGAGCTGAAGGTGGGCAATGGGGTGGCAGACGTTTTGTCTGGAATTCGCCAATGGAGGCGATGGATCCAGCGTGCGCAGGAGTTGGGCCTGACTACACCGGACCCTCTGGTGCTGGTGCAAGTGCTGAACAGGGTCACAGAAGCCCTGGGTCGACATGGTGGTGCTCAGGTCTCATTCAGAATGGCAACAGCAAGGCAAGATCTTGCAGTGGATCAGTGTCCGACGATGGAATCCATCATGGAGTATGCGGAGTATGTGCAGGCGGAGGCTGAAGATCTGGCGCTGATGACTGGCTCTTCAAAGACGTTGGAGCAGGTGCGAATGTGAACATGTCCACAGCTGGAGGGACAGCTCCAAAGGTGGCGGCATTCAACACCACGAGCTCTACAGAAGAGAAGCAAAAGGCCTCTTGCAAGTTCTGGGGGTCTGCTCAGGGCTGCAGGAGGGGGGATCAATGCACCTATGGGCATTCATGGGAAGGCATCAACAAGCAGAATCGGTGTTTTGTCTGCAGTGGTGAAGGGCACATGTCGCGAGAGTGTCCTACTCGACGTGAGCGAGATCAAAGGGATTCAAAGAAGGTGGCAAAGGTGAAGAATCCTATGCCCACCAAGGAGTCGCCAGTGAGTGACCTTGAAGCTCCAGATAAGCCGAAGGAGGAGAACGCCACTACGACTTCTTCCCAACAGTCCTCGGGGTCCTTGAAGAGCACACAGGTGTCAAGGAGTCGGGAGGGGGAGAAGGTTGCAGGTGGTGGAGAAGCTTCGACGGGGAGTGCAGAGTCGGCGACGGCATTGATAGCAGAAGCTACAAGTTTGCTCAAATCATTGAGAGCGCTCAAGGCTTGCAGGCTGAGGCAGATTTGCAGGATACAGCCTGACGCCGAGAGGGAGGGCGAAGTGGCCTTGTTGGATGGAGGTGCAACGCATCCACTGAGGATGGCGGAGGTCGGGGAGAAGAACCACCTTATTCCAGTTCAGGTGGAGCTCGCCCATGGGTCGACGACGCTGTTTCGAAAGGAGGGATGCAGCACATTGCTGTCTTTGGACGAGGTTGAGCCGATCATTCCATTGAGCTTGTTGGTACAACATGGCTTTCGGATTGACTGGTCGGCGAATGGATGCACAATCAACCATCCTCGGCAAGGGCCGATACTATGTTGGCTGCGGGGGGGTTGTCCAGTGATGAAAAGGACTGCAGCTCTTGCGATGCTCAAGGAGTTTGAGGAGCTGGAAAGGGGGCACTACAGCATCACGGCCGAGGACGCTCAGTGGTGGGAGGAGAACATCCCTGGGGTCCCGGGGGAGCTGTTGGAGTTCATGAAGGGCCAGTCATGGTGTCCGGCGGGAGATGATCTTCCATGGAACCGGAGGCAGAGGAGGATGCATCAGACTTCAAAGGGAATCATTGTGCACCTGTTCTCCGGCACCAATGTGAAGAGGTGGAAGGACTCGCTGCCTTCTGGGTACACCTGGCTGTTCGTGGACCCGCTTCTTGGGTCGAGGTATGATCTCCACTCACCTCAAGTGTGGGGATATTTGTGCTGGTTGGCCAAGCAGGGCCGAATCAAGGCAGTTTTGGGAGGTCCTCCATGCAGAACAGTCAGCAGGTTGCGGAATCGTGGGCCACCTGGACCTCGCAAAGTCAGAGCAAGAGGTGATCTGAGGTGGGGATTGGATGATCTAACTCCTAAGGAGGCTCAGATGGTCGCGAACGACACCACGCTGGTTCTCAAGCAGGTTGCACTTTGGAAGCTGGCCAAACAGGGACAGCAGATGGGCCGATTGACAGGCTTCTTGCTGGAGTCGCCAAGGGATCCAGCATCCTATTTGGAGTCGGAGGAGGATCGGCAGAATCCATCTTATTTTGAGTGGCCTCAATTGCAACAGCTGCTGGAGGAAGATGAGACTATGAGGATGATCAACTTCGACCAGGGAGCGACGGGTCATCCACGGAGGAAGCCGACGGGGGTGTTGTCGAACTTGCCCATGCTGGAGCAGCTTGAATTATGCCAAGGAGGAGGAAACACCAACCCAGTCGGAGGGGATTTGAGTCAGAGGATGGCAGCATCGAGAAGCTGGTCAGAATGGTCGCCGGGCTTTGTCAAGGCCATCCAGCTGGCATTGAGGAGTATGCTTGAGGAGGATGAGAACTGCAAGGTGGCGCGATTGGATATGGACCAATGGCGGCGACATGTGCGGATGCAGCACACGCCCTTCAGGCGGGACTGCAGAACCTGCCTGGAAGCAATGGGTACGCAAAATCCACATCGGAGATCCAGGACAGCGTCTTCTGCATACACCTTGGCGGTGGACATCATTGGACCATTCCCAGTGGGGAAAGATCCTGCAACTGGAAGAATGGCCAAGTACGCTTTGTTGGGAACGGTGCCGTTGCCGGTGCCGGACCATCTGCCGGGGGAACCGGCCGAAGAAGAGGATCTCACTGAGGAGCAGGCGAGGGACGTGCCATCTTTGGATCAAGAGGACCTGGAGGAGGAAGACCTAGAACGTGATGGCCGTCAAGATCCACCAGAGTTAGAAGATCAGCAGTTTGTTGAGGAGGGTGAGGAGCAGGTGATTGGTCGGGAAGAGATCGATGAGCTTCGGAGGCCCCATCAGCTGCAGAACATTACAATGGTGGAGGTGATGGAAGACAGAGGTGTGGATTCGCTCCTGGGAAACTTGTCCCGACTTTATGCAAGGTTCAGGTGTCTGGGCATCAATGTGATGAGATTGCACAGCGACAGGGAGAAGGGCATGCTGTCGAGGAGGGTGTCAAAATGGTGCGGCCACAGACACCTGGTACAGACCTTCACGCAGGGCGACGATCCACAGGCCAATGGCCGTGCAGAAGCAGAAGTGCAACAAGTTAAGAGACGCATGAGGCTGATCATCCATCAGGCACAAGTGGAACCAGAACTGTGGCCAGGAGCGATTCGCCATGCGGCAGAGGAGAGATGCAGACAGCAGCTCAGCAGACTAGGTGTTCCGGCGCAACCAATGCTACGGTTTGGGTCGAAGGTGGCAGTTCGCACGAAGAGATGGCACAAGGCTGGTCAGTTGGTCAACCCGTTCATCTCCATGCAGCTGGTTGGTCCAAGCCCACTGATGACAAGCGGTTGGGTGGTTCGCCATCAAGGTCGTGTTCAACACGTTCGAACGGCTCTACAGCCATCTCCAGAAGCGGACCAAGCGGCTCTCGAGCTCCAGGAGATTGATGCAGACATCATTCGCAGGAGAGTGACTGGAAAACAAAGTTTGGATCCTCACCCATTGCAGGACGTGATCTCACACATGTATGAGGAGGTGCAGCCTGCACAACAACCAGCCCTGTCCGCGTTGTCCAACTTCAGGACAGGGGGGGGGACAGATCCAGACCCAGGAGCTTGCCTGCAGGTCGAAGACAACGGGAGCTGTGGAGAGTCGGCAGAAGGGATGGTGAAGTGCCTCGAGTGCGATCTTTGGCAACTGGGGGAACATCGAGGAGCTGGATGTCGATTTTGTGAAGGAGATCTGCCGAAGGAGCAGGATGGGCTGCAGGTTCCGGGGGAGGAAGCTTTGGATTTGCAAGCCTGTTCATGGACTCAGGCAGTGCAGTGGCATGAGGAAGAAGTTCGTAGTCACTGGCAGTTGAAAAGAATGTGGCTGGATCAGTTGAATCAGGTGGCGGTGGGAGCACAGCAGGGCAGCGAACACGGTGGATGGCTTCAAGTCCTGGAAGAACAGTTGATGGTCCGGGAGGAGCGCCTTCAACGCCAACATGGAGCTCTTGAGAGTTGGAGGATGGCGGCGTTGCAGGCGGCGGGGGGTTCAGGAGAAGGGGAAGAGCAGAAGCCCTCGCTGGTCCTTCAGACCTACACGGTGTCGCTCGCCCAAGTGCGAAGGGAGTTGCACAAGTGGGTCGAACCCTTCAAGGATGAGTATGTCTCTCTGTCCACTACTACCGGAGCGATCTTTCCAACCACAGAGGAGGCTTTGAAGAAGGATCCGAGATATCCCTGGCGGGAAGAAGCGCCAGCAATGCTGGTCCCTACGGTCAAGAGTCCTCATGGACGGCATAGGGCAAGGGTGGTCATTTGTGGCAACCATCTCACAAAGTCCCAGGTGGAGACGAAGGCTGTCAATCCATTGGAAGCATCATCTACCTCTTCGCCCTTTGAACTATATGCAGGAGGGGCGGATGCGACAGTTCTGCGAGCTCTACTCAGGAAGAGTGCCCTGGAGAAATGGTCCGTAGCGAGTCTGGACGTGAAGACAGCGTTCTTGCTAGCTCCAAGAAGAGATGCACAGCAGAGGCTGCTCATTACGCGTCCTCCTCGGGTGCTGGTGGAAGCAAAGGTGTGCGCTGCTGACGAAATCTGGGAGGTCAGAAACTCGCTCTACGGTCTCCAGGAGGCGCCTCTCAACTGGGCGAGATTCAGGGACGAAGAGATGGCCAAGTTCCGCTGGACTGATGAAGGTGAATGCTGGAAGCTGGCTCGCACTCAAGAGCCCAACTTGTGGAAGGTGATCCTCGATGATCCATCCAAGTCAAGGTTGCCCGACAAGGTGTACGGATTTGTCGCTGTGTACGTCGATGATATCCTGGTGACTGGTGATGAAAGGGTGACTCGATCGACCATCGCTCGGTTCCAGCAACAGTGGAAATGTTCGACACCGGAGTGGTTGACGCCTGAAAGCAGCTTGAGGTTTTGTGGCTTTGAGATTGCCCAGGAGAAGAGGGGACTTCGTTTGCATCAGGAGTCATACCTACGAGATCTTTTGGCAAGATATCCTGATGTCAAATCAGCTCAAAGCCCGCTGCCAGGTGTCTTGGATGAGACTGAGGAGATGAATCCTGAGGTTGCAGAGGTCCGAAAGTCGCAAACCTTGGTTGGAGAGTTGTTGTGGCTGGCAGTGAGGTCGAGGCCAGACATCTCCTTCGCCGTGTCGTGGATGGGGAGGCAGGTGACACATTGTCCATGTCGAGTTCAACGATATGGAGCGCAGGTCCTGGGGTTCTTGCAAAGCACCATGGGTTTGGGCCTGTTGTATGAAGCTTCACCTGATGAACCCCAGTGGGAAGAGAGCAAGGGCATTCACATGTATTCGGATGCTTCATTCGGCCCTCCTGGATCTCGCGGTCACCAAGGCCTTATAGCGATGTACTCAGGTGCTCCTATACAGTGGGAAAGCAAACAGCAGCCCTTTGGCACCCTATCTAGCTCAGAATCAGAGCTCATGGGGTATTCTGATGCCTTAACCATGGGTGAGTCGTGCGCCTCAATCGTTGCGATTTTGGAAAGTGGTGATGTGAATGAGGTCATGGACTGTGTCCTTCATGGTGACTCGCAGTCTGGCATCCGCATTTTGCAGTCGCCGGATGGCCCATGGCGGACGAGACATCTCAGGCTGCGAAGCTTTGTGTTGCGGGAGCGAATCCGCACGGGATGCTGGCAGGCACGTCACGAGCCGGGAGCATCGTTGTCGGTGGACCTATTGACAAAGTCAATTGTCAGTCCGCCTTCGTGGAGGAGGTTCCGGGAGTTCACTGGCTTGTGTGCTGGAGCAACCCAGGTGAAGGAAGCGGAGGACTGTGTGCAGGTCAAGAGGCTGATCGGGCTTCTGAGCGGGCTGATAGGCATTTCATGTTGGCAGCCAGTTAGTGCGGTTGCCAAGGTCGCCAAAAGTGTGACCATTGCAGCGGTAGCTTCAAGTGTAGCTTGGCTGATGGGTAGGAAGGGTGGAGATGACCCCAAAAAAGAGGGTGAACCGGCATTTGCTCGGACAGGGGCGTCCAAAGAGGGCAATGTCGAAAGAAGAAAATGTCAAGAAGAGACAAGGGAAAATGAACCTGTCTCCAAACCCGGTCGCGACTTTAGCCCAAAGGGCTCCCCGGGCGGTGCATCCGCGCGCGAGCCATGGATTCGGCAGCCTCCGCGGGTGAGTGCTTTGAGGGCACCAATCACCCATGTGGGACTTGGCACGGATCTTCCATGGGAGCTGATGAGGTTTAGTACGCCGCCGACTGGAACAGACAGGTGGGAATGCCTTGGTGTGGGCCTCGGTGGTGGCGAATGGTGGGTCAGGGTGCTGAAGAAGTCCCGAGTGCGAACCTTCCATCCATTGCATCGTGGAACCCCAATGTCGATAGCAAGACTCTCGGCGACCAGAGTCACGGTGGCTTTTTCGCGGGGAAATCCGCGAGAAGTTTGGAAGCGCGTGGTCATCACCGATGACTGGATCGAAAACAGGGGCTCAGATGTGGAAGGGCTTCATGAATGGTGTGGCTACACTTTCTTCTACGTGAAGTTTGAGGCCCTGCCAGAAGGAAGAGCAGGAAATCTCGACCGACGTGATGTCAGGCCGGGACCACTTCCTCCACCGGGTTCGGTGGCCGCAGGCGGGGGCTATGGCGGCTCCATTCCAGGAAGGTCAAGAGCAGTGCAACGAGGTCGAAAGGCCTTACAAGGTTCAGAGACGATAGAAGACGAGGAAGTCACCTACGGTGGAGGGGGCATCAGTGCTTGTGACATTGAGTCCATCGAGGGTGGCACGAAGACGGGCTATGAGCTAAGGCTCCAAGGACGTGAGCGTCGGGGGGAGAGTGGAGACGATCCTGGCCAGGGAGTCAACATGGGGTCCCAGGCGGTCAGTTCAGGTGATCAATTACCTCCCGAGGCTGATCAATGGCCGATTTGGCTGGGAATTGAGACGGCAGTTCTTCCCCAGCAAAACGGCGGACTGCAGGATGAGGACGGTGAGTCGGACGGAAGTTTTGAATTTCTGCACACCATCAGATGAAAAAACCTGGTGATGTGTTAGAAGGTGATGGTACGACCATCAGGGGGAGTGCGAATCCCCTCATTTTCACATGATGTGAGCATAGGTGTGACATACACCACTTAGCACCAACAAACGCTGTTCGTGGCTCAAGAAAAGCATCGTCCGTTTTTTCCCTTGAAGGAAACTCACAAAGCAATCATTCGTTATTCTTAGACCGTCTAAATCTTTCTCTTTCCTTTTTTGCACATCATGACCACAGAAATTTCCCATGGACACTTCCAGAAACCCAGGAGCACAACTACGATGAACTCTCCGTGCAGATGGACAAGATGAGATGGCAAATGTCTTGGCCAATCCGTTCAGCTCGAAAACTAATCTTGACCAATGCCTTCAGCTCGTAACTTTCACTTTTTAAGAGTTTCCACATGCTTTAGCAACGACCAACTCAGTTTGGATCTCCCTTCTTGGCGTCAGGTTTCAGGAAGAACTTGCTTCCTTCAAGATACCACTTGTTGCTCGGAAGACATTGTCGTTTGTACGTCGTTTACTTCTCAACATACCACGCTTTGTTCAGGTTTGGGGTATCATTGTGGTCAATGGCCAGGGCTTGAAGGACAAGTTGGTACCAATTCCAGAGGCGGAATTCCGACAACGACACAGACGCCAGATGCTGCTGCCAGACGATGGTATGCTTACTGTGTATTTACTATGTATGCACAACAGAAAGACAGGTCTCAAAGTCTAAAGAAAGAAAATAAAAAGGCAAGAAAGGTACACAAAAAACATAAGAAAGGTCTAATATAGTTTGCTAGTAGGAACAAGGACGCTACTAGGGGCTCCTGGCATCGCTACTAGGAACAAGAAGCTACTAGGAACAAAGGGCATCGCTACTAGGAGCAAGGACGCTATTAGGTTGGAGGCCATCGTTTTTAGAATCAAAGGAAAATGAAGAAAGACAGGTCTCAAGGTCTGATGTTAATCGGGTGGAATTCAGTTGGGCGCTGAACTCCTAAAGACCTTTTAGACCTTCTATTGTGTTTTTTAGACTTTTTTTTGGTTTCTTTATGTGTTCATTTTTTGCTTTAGACCTCTCTTTTTTATGTTTATTTCTTTCTCTATTTGTTCATTTACTGACTTGTTTCCTGCTCCATGAAAGATTGCAGGAAAACATGTAGCTGTACACGTAACTCAATGCAACTGCACAACTGTTCTCAAGTGGTGACAACTGCAAGAGGACGCTACTAGGAGCAAAGGGCATCGCTACTAGGAGCAAGGACGCTACTAGGGGGTCCTGGCCCTACTACGAACAGAGCAATGTTCGCTACTAGTAACAAACTCACTTCTCTTAAGTAAGTTTTGCAACTAGTAATAAGTGCCTTACTACTAGTAACAAAGAAGCTACTAGGAACAAGGCGCTTTTCGATGGTGTTGAGTCCGCAAACGGCGACGCTTTGCAACACATCCTTGCTACGCTTTGCTGTCCTTTTCCTCTCTACAGAAAAACCCAGCAAAGCCTGAAGCGGACCATAGGTGGTTTTGACAATCCTAGTAGCTTCTTTGTTACTACTAGTAAGGCACTTGTTACTAGAAGCGTTGCACTTGTTCCTAGTAGCGTTCTTGCTCCTTGGTGGGTTTTGACAATCTCGGAGAACTTTCCCACTCTGCTACGAAGCTCCGTGTTGACATTCACGTGATGCAAGCTGCCATCACGCTGAACAGTTGGTGGATTCCAGACCAGTGATCATGCAGCATTGCAATCGATAAACAGCCTTCCTCCAACCTAATAGCGATAGCCTCCAACCTAGAAGCAACTAATCCTCCTTCTGTTGACATTGTGCTTTCGTCCATGTTGACATTGTGCTTCGGGGGAAAACGTGCCACTTGGCACTTGGGTTCATTGCAATCGTAGCAATGCTGTCGCTTGAGCACTTGGGATTGGTGGACTTCACCACCCGAACCCTGGAGAGATCCTTCTTTCCATTTTTTTTGGCTTCTACTAGCGATGGCCTCCAACCTACTAGCAAACTACATTAGACTCATTAGACTTATTCTTTTTGTTTGTTTTCTGTCTTCTTCACTCGTTTGCACGTCACATTCGCTCGAGACAGGCAGCCTTGACCTGCATGAGGAACTGCCTTTTGGGCCTGGCGAGAGTGAAATGCAAGGAGGGACGAAGACCAAACGACCGTCTGGTCACCAAACTTTCGACGAAGATCGACACTGGTCTTGAGACGTTAATAGGTTGAAGGCCATTGCTTTGTAGGTTGGAGGCCGAGAGGAAGACCAGACGATCAGACGACTTATCGTAACAAGACGACTTGTTCTTCGGTTCTTCGATTGTGAGTCCTTCTTCGGCTGAGACTAGCGATGCCCTTTGCTCCTAGTAGCTTCTTTGTTACTACTAGTAAGGCACTTGTTCCTAGTAGCGTGGCACTTGTTCCTAGTAGCTTCTTGTTACTACGTCAACTCGGGTCAGCTTAGATTTTCAACTTGGCATTGATTCAAGCTCAGTGCATCGGAAGGAGTGCTATGGCAGATATGACCAGGCAGGGATTTCTTAAGGGTATCTACTAGCTTGCACTATCACTACCTGTGACTTCTTTAAATTGACTTTTCTTAAATGCTATTTTTGGAGCTTTCTTTCTTCCTCTAGACTTGAGAAATAGATCTTTCGTGTCTGGGATGCCTTGCCCCCTCGCCAAACACTTGCCAGCAATAATGCCTTTGGAATGCCAAGACTACCCACTTCCGCTGCACAGTGCGCCAGCACTTCCAGTGAGGGAGTGAGGAAGCGTGAAGAAAGACAGGAAGGTAAAGGTGGTAAAGGGAGTCTAAAGTCGCTACTAGGAGCAAGAAGCTACTAGGGGCTCCTGGCATCGCCACTAGGAGCAAGGACGCTACCAGTAACAAGGTTCGCTACTAGGGAGTCTAAAGGTCCCCCAATGCCGTTACTAGTAGCGTCCTTGCTCCTAGTAGCGATGCCCTCTGTTTGATAAGACTTTGATCGCGGGAATGTCAAAGTTCAGTTTCCCTAAACATCTAGGAACCAAATCATTGGTTTTGAGCTTCCTTGAAGAAGTGTCCATATGTAGTAGCATCCAAGTATCTAGGAGCGTGTTTAGTCCTTTACTTAATCAAGTAGATGCCTACTTAATTAAGTAAGAGCGGGATTAAACAAATGAAACAATAAGGGAGGTTCTCCTCTATTGAAAAGAGCCTTAGTCTTCAAAAAATTTTCCTCCGCTATCAGGATCACAACTTTAGAAGTTCTTGTTTAAGAAGGGAACGCCCACTGTTGAAGCAGGGGGTGACTAATTAGATAGCAAAAAGTTGTGTCATAATTGCATTGATAACGGCACTTAATTAATTCATTCATTTTGAATTTGTTCTAGCTCCTTACAATCTGGATCACGCAAAGAACCTATTAAGACAAACATGAACTTGGGCAAGAAGAAAGAGGCTGGAGAATAGGAACAACTCGTGAACAAGAGAAAGTCAAAGCAGCTTAACAAAGAGAGGGGAGAGGAACTAACAAATCAAGAAAAGAAGCAACTATTTGAAAACAGCCGGGTGGTAATGAGTTTTTCTCTATTCAAGGATAGGGCTTGTCGCACAGCTAAGGGATTGCTTAGTGTCAATAAGTGGTACACAATGAAAAAGAGTGAATAAAGCTGCAATGACACATATTAAAGAACACATGTTGTTCAAGAAAAATCTAGGAACCACATGAATAGCGTGAGCTACGCAGTGTCCTACCTAGCTACGCATGTCTAAAGATCTGTTGGGGATCTCCCTCTCAAGGATTCAGTCCACCCTAGTAGCGATGGCCTCCAACCTAGTAGCATCTAGTTACTACAGGTGAAACGATTCAAGGAAGCTATTAGCTCCTAGTAGCTTCTAGTTACTAGAAAGCTTCAAAGACATACTAGTAGCTTTATTGTTACTACTAGCGATGGCCTCCAACCTAGTAGCGACCTAATAGCAAAAGGAACCTAATAGATAAGGAACCCAATAGCAATGGCCTCCAACCTACAAGCGATGGCCTCCACCCTAGTAGCGATGGCTCCCAGTGTCTGCTTGATTTTCTCCCAGTGCACTTGCACTACCAGAGAACCCAAAGTAAGCCCTTTTAGCTTTGCGTCCCAGTTTCTCACACGTATTCGAACAAATCAATCGCAAAAAAAAGAAACTGCACGGCCACAGGCAGTTTTTCCTTTCCAACAGCTAGTCTTTGTCGAGAACTGCCAATGACAAACTGCCGGTGACTAGACCACCTTTAACCACCAGCGTGGGGCGCTTTGTGCACATTGCTCCAAATTGTTCCTTAATTATGCTTAGTGAGCTCTTGCTTACCGCCCTTTGAGTCAAGAGCTATGTCAGCTATGTTGCATTGTGCATTTTTTTGAACTCCTTGGACAGACAAAGCATGTAATTACCATTGTTTGAGGCCAACAAGCAGTTGGATCAGCGCGAGAAGGATCTGAGCAAGTTCGCCAATTACGCTGGGAGCCCCAACATCGTCTTCTGAATCACCAACCGAAACCGGAATCCTTCTGCTCGCGGAGCTCGGCTTCGCTCAGGTGAAGATGTACCAAACGATCCAAGAGGTCGAAAGCCTTGGGGGATTGGAAGAGATGTAATAGAAGTAGTAACAAGAAGCTTTTCCAGGGCTCCTGGCATCGCTACTAGGAGCGATCGGACGCTACTAGGGGCTCCTGGCCGTGCTACTAGGAGCAAGGACGCTACTGGTAACAAATCGAGTCAAATGGACTTCGCTGTTCTTTTCCCAGGATCGAGAAGAGATGGAGGACTTGATGTTTGAGGTCGAGCAGATGTACTCTCTCCTGAGGCGGAGACTGGAACGCTTTGCAGCCAGGCTTCATGAGTTGTTGCTGGCCTCCAACCTACTATGAATGTATGGCCTCCACATACAAGAAGCTACTAGGAACAAGTGCATCGCTACTAGTAACAAGTGCCTTACTAGTAGTAACAAGAAGCAGAAAGGCACTTGTTTCTACGTTCGCTTCTTGTTACTACTAGTAAGGCACTTGTTACTGACCACGTGAGTTGTCAGGGATTTCAAAGTTCGGATGATTGACGAAGACGAGTTTTACTACGAGGGACTGAAAGACAAGGAGACACAGCTTGTACTCAAAAGGCAACCCGGCAGAGTCTTTTGCACTTGACTTGTGAGGAGAGCGACTTTGCAAACAAGAAAATGATTGAAGCCAGCCACTTTATCTCAGAGATGAAGGAGGAGAAAAATGAGGGGCTCCTGGCCTTACTACTAGGAGCAAGGACGTTACTAGGGGCTCCTGGCCTTACTACTAGGAGCAAGAAGCTATGAGAAACAAGAATTGAAGAATTAAAGAGAAAAGCACGGCACTTCATGTCCTGTCAGCGGTGCTGAGGGGCCGGGCATGGGGAATGTCGGAACTAGAAGCATGCGTTCCGTATGTGGAAAGCGTCCGGGCTAAGCAGGTTTTCCTGGTTTTAGCCCGCCCTTGCTTAATTAAGTAGGGGCAGTGGACGCAGGATGGTGCTCACACTATTGATTGTGGCTCAAACATCATTGTTGTTTCAATAGCAAAAAGAACCTAGTAGCGATGGCCTAGTAGCGATGTCCTCCACCCTTGTGTTTTGCTGGCAGAAAGTAGGAGATGGCTTTGGAGACCTACCAGAGAGCCCTCAAGGTTGAGGAAGAGATGAAATCCGTCTCGGAGGACCTGATGGGCAGGACATGCTTGACAAATTAACAGATGAGGAGAGAAAGAATCGGACCAGAAGGTGTAATCAGCAGCAAAGCTACTAGGAACAAGTGCCTCGCTACTAGTAACAAGTGCCTTACTAGTAGTAACAAAGAAGCTATTAGTTAATTTACTTAAATCTATTCTAATTCTAGCAGCAAAGCAAGGAAGATATTTACCATTTTCTTAGCTTTGGTCTTATTTGTTGCTACGAAGCAGGTGAAGGGAACGCAGTAGCAGGTTATGTGCTAATTCTAGTTTGGTGTGCGAAGCAGCTCAACAAACTTTGTCCCACAATTCGGTGCAACGTTCGCTTCAAAAACTGCTCTCAAAGGCAAGACCTTATTCTAATTCTAATAGCTTCTTGTTACTACTAGTAAGGCACTTGTTACTAGGAGCAAAGGCAAGACCTTCTTGTTTTTTCTTTGTTTCTACTAGCAATGGCCTCGAACCTAAAAGCAATGGCCTCCAACCTACAAGCGATGGCCTCTTTTTGATTTCCTTTCTTTTTTGTTCCTTTTCCTCAAACAGTTTACTATAGGGGTTCTCTCCTACGGAATAAGAGACTGGCGGCCACAGTCTGTGTCGGCGCTGATGAACCGGAAAGCGGACCCAGCCCTTTAAGAAACTGAAGAGAACCATTATTTTCTTTCGACCTTTTTTCTTTCTATTTCTTCAAGGGTGGAGGCCATCGCTTGTAGGTTGGAGGCCATTTCTTCTTCCCTTCTTTTTCCTCGTGCTTTCGATAGGGAAGAAGGCCAATTTGCAAATTGAGCCCCACGTTTTGAGCTTTATTGTTACTACAAGCGATGGCCTCCAACCTACTTGCGATGGCCTCCACTATTAGCTTCTAGTTACTGGAAAGCTTCAAAGACATACAAAAAACTCGAGCAAACGGACGCTTTGGAGGAACTGTTCACCGGAAGCTTCATTGATCCAGAGAAGATTGTGGTTGCTCACGAGGTTGGAGTTGCTTTGTAAAGAACGAAAGGAAGAGCAAAAGACACGTCCAAAGGGCTACAGGAAAAATGGACAAAGTCGTAGAAACAGAAGGAATCGCTTTGTTAAATAACTTTGTTTGGAATTTCTTTTGCATCAGAAGAGTATTGCGTTCCCCACCGTTTCAAGTGCGTCCCTCCAGCCCCAGAGGCAAGCATTGACAGCCGAAACCGGATGCAACATCACCGTTGTGACGTTCCGATCACCTTTATTTGAAACCTGGAGACCCTACTAGTAAGGCACTTGTTACTAGTAGCGATGCACTTGTTACTAGTAGCTTTATTTTTGGGGGGTAGGCCGCGAGTGGATGTAGTTTAGCTAGGTAGGTAGCTACGTAGCTAGTAGCTACAAGAACGCTACCACCGACTCGACGCACGATAGCTCGCGCTTCTTCAAAAAAGCTCCCTCCGCCACCCTAAAGGCGGCGGGTGACACTCAAGGTTATGTCCTTTATTTATTTTATTTTCTCTCTCTCTCTCTCTCTTTCTCTCCTTTTTTCCTTTCTTCAAAGTGCACTTGAACTGGAACGAAGGGCGCGAAGCGTACCGAGCTCTTCAGGTCCTTGAGGAGTTGGACAAGATCCACGAAACCCGAGCGGGACTCTCCAGCGATTCCGCTTGCGCTTTGTGAAGCTGAATTGGCTCCTAACAGCTATGGCCTCCAACCTGAAAGCAAAGGCCTCCTTGCTCCTAGTAGCGATGCCAGGAGCCCCTACTAGCGTTCTCGTTCTTAATCGGAAAGCTTTCCAGGTCAAAGCTCTTGAAGAGAGAGCCGCAACTTTCACAGACTACGAGGCCGGCCTGTCCACAGCAGCGTGGAGAGTCTCTCTTCTTCACCAGAAGGAAAAGCTTATTCAGCTTACTATATTCCAAGAGGGCAACAGCGGAAACAAAAGGGCCAGTCAAGCAGTTCTGTGATTTTTTCAGGGATTGCTCGGCCCTGCTCCTCAAGTTCAAGCTGATGTCCGCGCCCCAAATGCCACTGGGTCACTGCCTTTGCCGCGCCGCCCTCGTGTACCTTCAATAGCAATGGCCTCCACACTAAACAATCTTTTTTTGAGTTACTAATAGGAATGGCCTCAAAGCTACTAGCGTCCTTGTTCCTAGTAAGGCCAGGAGCGCCCCTAGTAGCGTCCTTGCTCCTAGTAGCGATGGCCACCTCTCGTCCGATGTGCTCAGGAAGAGAGCAACGGCCACTTTCAGTTTGCAGAGGTGGCAAAGACCAGGAGAAGAAGTCTCGTGGGGCTTCGGTCTTCACGAGTTCGTAAAAGCTCGGCATATTGCATGGCAAGTCGTCGAAAGATTCTATCTCGTCGCTTTGAAGGAAGGTCTTTGATGACAAACTGAAGCTCTGGGAGGCGAATGACAGAGACGCCGCACATGTCCTCTTTTTGGCCATGAGCACAATAGTTTGGCTTACAACCTGTAGCCACAAGAGACAACCATACAAGTTCTTACGTGATAACATAACATTTGGCTCAAGATCCAATTTCAGCTCCAAGAGAATCGTGCGTTTTGAACATCTTTGCTGATTCACACCCAGACTCATTAGCCGTAGTGCTTTGCACATGCTCAACAAGACCATGTGCCTCATTTGTGATATGCACGGCCCTGCCACTGTCTTTTTCGAGCAGGTTGTGAAACACACATCTCCGGAACCGACCCTTCCCTTACCTCCCAAATCTGCACTGACAAGTGGGACGGTCCAATTTAGACAGCAGAAAGGTGACGACGGGACCCATAGTGAGAGGTTGAAGATGTTCCGATGATAGCTTGGATTTAGAAAAAGTGGGATAGGAACTCCAATTCAGCTTCTCCAAGAATGGTTGCAGAAAGGGCAGTGTTCCTTTTCGAAGAACTTCGACTTGAAGCCGCTGCAGGGGAGGAACTCAGAACAGCGACTGTCCATGTCAAGGCGGTCTGAAATGACACACACACAAAGATACAATCAGACACGGCACAGGCAAGCCTGATGAGCGCCTCCAGCACCTGTCAGGGTGTCATGATGGAGACTACCAGCTTCGTGGTCTTGAGCGTGGCTTCTATCCTTCCTCACGTTTTAGCGGAGCTCTGTCAGCCCAATTAAGCAAAGCATCCAGGCTTCAGTGAAGTGAACTTTCTCATGGCCAGTTTGAAAGGCATCATCAAGTGAAGGTGTTAGATAGCAAAGCAGAGTTTTAGAGGAAGAGGGCCCATTGCAGAAGTCCAGGCAAAAGTCAGTTCATTGGGAATTATTCAAAAATAGGCCGCCAAAGATCTGGTCAGAGTACGGGGCTGCGGCAATGAACATTTGGAAGGTTGTGCCCGTGTCTTCGGGGCGCGTCCAAGGGCATCGAAACAGGACTCAAGTGACGTGGCAACCTGGAAGGCTAATGTTTTAGACGTCGAGAAGTGGCCGTCAATGGCGAAGCGGGGTTGCGCGCGGCGGAGGGCCTTGCGGGCGACTTGCAGCGAGCGTTTGTTCCGTGAATTTCTTTTCTTTGATTATTTTCAATAGTGTGAGGACGGAGAGGCGATACAAACCCGAAGACGCATGAAATACGTTTTTGTGCATTGATGCTTTTCAAAAGGCAAGGGGGAAGGGCTTTACCCCGAAGGGTGAATGCAGTCATCCAAGCCGGATGTAAAGGCCAGCCAGGCCAGCCAGTCCCTGCCAGTGTCCTGATCCAAAGCCTGCAAGCGACTTGTTGTTTCGGTGTCAAAGATTGGAAGCGCGTGGCAACGGTGCCCAAATTTCAGGCCGACTTTGGGATTTGCCAGGAGACGCCTGGCAGTAGAGTGCCGCGTGGTGTGACTTTCCAAGAAACAATCGTTTGCAGAACTTGAACCGCTGAAAAGCGGTAATCATGCAGATATCAGGGGATGATTATGAGGGAGAAGATGAAGAAAGGATGCAAAACGAAACATAACGTCAGGAGATGACAGGAGGCCTCCTGAAAGCTCCCATTTGTTGGGTTCGAAACCTGAGTGCCCTCAACCAAGCAGGAGGGGATATTGCAAGTCCATAGAATATGGAGCAACGCAAGTTCTGATCAGCGACAAAGCAACGTTCAATAGGGAGTTCAGATGAGCGGCCAGGGGAAGGTGACCTTGTCAACAAAGACATCCAATGCCCAAACGGGGTCGATGTTGAGCAGACCACTCTCAGCAGCGGGTTCTGCAATCTGACAAAAGAATGACTGCAGTTTGTTAGGTTGGACAAGCGACAAAAAGTGCTCAAACCTTGGCGGAAATAACGCCTGAATGAGCCAGCCCGAAAGCCCACGTTGAATCATTGAAGGGCTCACCACACCGACCTGCAATCAAGGTTGCTATGATCAGAAACGGGCCGGTGGCCGTGGTCATTCCTTCCGCGTGGCGCTTTTGCTGGGCTCCTCGGTGTAGGTTAAAGTGTTGCCCCGAAGAGGAACAGAGGGGTCGAGGGTCGCCTGTCGTCACGTTTTCATGGGCCCTGTAGCATGTGGCCAGTCATGTGGCCCAAGTACGTCGCGTTCACGATGAGACTGAACCCCTCTCTGATTTGCACGTGTGAACGGTGAGCCGCTGTAAAGACACTTTTCTCCTGTGCCGCAACATTTGGGCTCACAGGCCCTTGAGTCAGAGTGGAAAAAGATCGCCCGCTGTCTGCCACAACCAATTCCTTTTTTATCTGACTGACGTATTCGGGCACTTCCGTGGCACAGACTAAACCCACGTCCACACGCAACTTTCAGAAAGCGCGAGGTCACTGCCCAGTGTCAAGAAATGGCGCACAATTGGAATGTCTCGGAGTTTGTGAAGGCCAGCAGAGCGGGTGAAAGACATCAACGGCAGCAAAGATCGGAACGACCTCCACTTGCTTTGCTGTACTTTTGGTTTTTGTTGGTGCGTTCTTTGTTTGCTTAGGTGGACGTGGAGGCGATGAACAAACAAGTCATGGCCTCCTACAAAACCGCCAATGGCTTGACACGCTCACTGGACGGAGACGAGGTCCGACCGGAGTTCGACCATTCCTTTTTGTGGCAGACTTCATACTTTAAAAATTGCAGTTGTTGCATTTTCTTGCTTTAAAGCAGTTGAAACTGCTTTGTGATTTTTTCTTGCAGTGCTGAGGTAGCTACGGTAAGGTGAACAGGGTTTTGCCCTTTTGAACAATGTCAAAATTTCCCACAGATGGAAAGATGTGCCAATACACAAATGGAGGTTCTTCCATCATTGTTGTCAATCATTTTCTGGAAAGGACATTGTTGGAAGACACATCGCTTTTTGTTTGCGAAGGTGGCAGTGCGGGTGAAGGGGATGATTGAAGAATGGTATGGAACTTGGATCTTGAACGCTACTTCTACCGCGTTAGCGCTCGCCAAATGAAGTGGCACTGGAGACCACGACAGACTGGAGGACAAGCAGTAACACAATTGACAGACACGTTGACAGTCAATAAAAAAAAAGATTAGAGGCCATTGCTAGTAGGTTTTCATAAATTTTTATATTAAAAGAGAGGATATGTTTTTTCGGTTTCAAGGGTCGCTGGCTCAGGCGAGAACGAATGCCTTGCATCCTGGATTTAGGCAATCCTGCCCTTCGTCCACGGTGCAGATCCCAAGTTTCCACGGGCACAAAGTACACAGCAAGAAACTACTAGGTTGCAGGCCATCGCTACTAGTAGCAAGGGCATTACTACTAGTGGCTAGAAGCTACAGCTACTAGTAACAATAGCCGATAGCAGTGTTGTAGGAAGGGAGGGATGGCCGGGATGACTTCCGCTTGTACGAATTGCACGTCAGGCACTTGAACTCCAAGTCAGAAGAAAACAAGACAAGATACAGCTGTGAAGAACGCCCAAGAACTCTCAGAGAGGCTTTCAGGAGAGAGAGAGAGAGAGAGTAGAGAGAGAAATGAAGACATCTGAAGATGGGGTGAGGCAAAGCGAACCAAAGAGAAGTGAGTTTGTTACCAGTAGCGAACATTGCTCCTAGTAGTAAGGCCAGGAGCCCCTAGTAGCGTCCGTTTGCTCCTAGTAGCGATGCCCTTTGCTCCGTTCGTAGCGATGATGCCTTCAAGTCAGGGTTCCAAGTGAGGCACTGGGAGAAGATCTTTAAGAAGCACGGCGCCCAGTTGTGGGTGCGTTGAGCAACGAGGAAACCGACGACAGCATCACAATGCGCATGACGATGTGTGACATATCATATTTGGTGAAGACGGATGAAGAGTGAAATAGAAGAAAAGAAAGGACAAGGAACGAGAAGGAAAGATCAAAAGGACTTGTGATATGAAGCGGAACCTGACAGTTTCATGGTGTTTATACAATGTATAATGTGTTTTCTAGTAACAAGTGCCTTACTAGTAATAACAAAGAAGCTAGTAGAAACAAGAATTAGTATATTGTTTCTACCAGCAAACAGTGTTCCTAGTAGTAAGGCCCTTGTTCCTAGTAGCGATGCCAGGAGCCCCTAGTAGCGTCTTTGTTACCGAGAACTGATCGAACCTCCAAGGATCAATCTTGCCTACAAGGAAAGAAATAAGTGGAAGCTACTAGGAACAAGTGCATCGCTTCTAGTAGCAAGTGCCTTACTAGTAGTAACAAAGAAGCTACTAGTAACAAGTGATCAAACCTGCTCCAAGGATCAATCTTGCCTACAAGGGTCCAACCTCTGCGAACAGTATCAGCTTTGCTCTGAGAAAGACGGCAGACGGCAGACCCGGAATCAATGCGAAGAAGCATCAGCATTTGTGCGATACTTGCTTTCTTGCTACTACTTGGAATTACTACTTACCCCTTATTACTAGTTACTTAAACTCGCTACGGCCTAACAGCCCCTCTATTCTACTAAATAACTACGACCTACTAGCGATGGCCTTGGTCCAACCCACTAGGTTAAGTTTCCCTAAAATCAAGGAACCAAATGAATAGAAGCGTGAGCTATCCTGCGTCCATGCTAGTAGCTACTTGAGCTACTAGCTACCTCCTAGCCACTATAGAAGCCTCCCCCTCTAGCAGCCTACCCGCCCCCCCCAGAACAAAAGAACGTCGACTGAGGTTTGACCCAGTTGGAAGGCAATGGGATTTTCGACGTCCGCGAATACGTCTCCGAAGTCTCCGCCAATGCCAGCGGCGAATTTGCCTTGGAGCAATCCTTGGAGCAGGCGAGAAGCTACTAGGAACAAGTGCATCGCTTCTAGGAACAAGTGCCTTACTAGTAGTAACAAGAAGCTACTAGGAACAAGTGCATCGCTAGTAGTAACAGGTGCCTTACTAGTAGTAACAAAGAAGCTGCTAGGGGCTCCTGGCCTCGCTACTAGGAGCAAAGGAAGCTACGAACGGGCGAAGAAGCGAAAAGGTCTAGAAGAAAGCGACAAAAGGTCTTTAAAGAACATGAACACAAAAAATACCGAAGGGAAATATATCTAACCGACACATAAAAGAAAAGGTCTAAAGGAAACAACAGATCTAACGGAAAAAAAACAAAAAAACAGTCTGAAAATAGAAAAGAAAGAACAAGGTTAGTCTTTTAGTGCTGGCTGACCGTCCATCAGCTGGGGCAAGACTTGCCGGGCCAATTTGGACCAAGCTCTTCTTTCGGATGAGGAAGCTCCTCTTTGTGCTGTTCGTGCTTGCATGTGTTTGGCAGATCTATATTGGGTGCTTTTGGAAGCAATAAGCTAATAGCAAACATTGTTACTACTAGTAAGGCACTTGTTTCTAGTAGCGATGCACTTGTTTCTAGTAGCTTCTTGTTACTAGTAGCGTGGCACTTGTTACTACTAGTAAGGCACCTGTTACTACTAGCGTGGCACTTGTTGGAAGGTGATAGCAGCCTGGGCCGATTTGGAGCTGCCAATCATGAATCACCGAAACCAGAAGGCGGGAACCAATTCTGACGAGGGTGCCAAGGGCCACGCTGCGAACGGAGCAAAGGGCCTTACTACGAACGGAGCGATCGGACGCTACTAGTAGCTCCTGGCCTTACTACTAGGAGCAATGTTCGCTACTACTAACAAAGGGCATTACTTGGTCTTCCTTTTTTGTATTCAAGTTTCTGTGGCCACAGGATCTTTGGATTCTTGGTGATCTCCAAGACGTCATTACCTTGTGCGAGGTTGGGAGACCGGAGAATTACCCGTTACTACTCTCCAAAAAGCAGGCCTTTGGGGTCTTAAGACTCTATCCAGAAATCGGAAAACAGAAATAGGAGTGCTTCCTCTATGAACTGTCTTTTTAAGGTTCGAAAGTAGGGTCTTTTAAAGAAGGTGACTCTGCAAGAGCGCTTTTGAGACGTTGGTTGCCAGGATCACAGCGTCACAATCGCAACCATGATGGGAAGCCGCTTTATTCACGGCCGCTCGCTGTTGTGGTCGAAAGAGCGGATTTTGGGAGAACGGCTGAAAGGAACCATCGCTACGAACGGAGCAAAGGGCATCGCTACTAGGAACAAACGCTACAAGGGGCTCCTGGCCCTACTACGAACGGAGCTAATTTGCTAACAGTAGCTATTTAGCTAATAGCTTCTTGTTACTACTAGTAAGGCACTTGTTACTACTAGCGTGGCACTTGTTACTACTAGCGTGGCTATTTAGCTAATTTGCTACTAGTAGGAATGCCCTTGTTACTAGCACGGACGCTACTAGGTTGGAGGCCGCACAATCTCGGTACCGAGAGCTCCAATCACATCATAAGCTTCTTGCTCCGTTCGTAGCGATGCCCTTTGTTACTAGTAGCGTCCTCTTGTTCCTAGTAGCGAGGCCAGGAGCCCCTAGTAGCTTCTTTGTTACTACTAGTAAGGCACTTGTTCGTAGTAGCGATGCACTTGTTCCTAGTAGCAAATGGTCTGTTCTTTTGTCATTGTTGCTTTCGGCCGCTGTTCCGAGGCATACGTGAGAAGGTTGAATTGTGGGAGAAGAAAATCAACCAGGCAAGCCAAGCGCTAACTCTGCACTTGTTCCAGTTCGTCATCATTCTAACCACAACACAGCTGGCACTAGCATCAGCTTCAGCACATTTTCCTGAATATAAAGACCCAGGTCGAAACATGCACACGCTCAGGGTTGACTTGGAAAGGGGAGTTTTAGACAAGCTAACAAAGTTTCGGAAAGAGGCTTGCAAGTTGGAAGTCAATGCGCAGCATGACTCGCAGCGACAGAAACTTCCTCTTGAGGACAACCTCAAATTGGTTCGTGGTTCTGTCAATTGTGGCTCTAAACGATCCAATCAAAAGCCACACAAAGCACTTTGCAAAAGCAAAACAAACAATGATTCGACCTAATATGTACAACATGTGAAACAAGAACGCTACTAGGAACAAGTGCATCGCTTCTAGTAACAAGTGCCTTACTAGTAGTAACAAGAAGCTAGTAGAAACAAGTGCCACGCTACTAGTAACAGGTGCCTTACTAGTAGTAACAAAGAAGCTACTAGGAACAAGTGCATCGCTAGTAGTAACAGATGCCTTGCTAGTAGTAACAAGAAGCTATTAATTTAAATGTAATTCTAATCGCTTTTTATTACGGCACTTGCTACTAGGAGCAGAGGGTATGTCCAGTTTCCGGTCCAACAATGACATGAGTTGGCGGTCCAAACTTCATAAGTTCAAGAGTAGGTTGGTGGCCACCGCTAGTAACAAGGGCATCGCTACTAGTAACAGGAGCAAAGGGCATCGCTTTTGGGTTGTATTGTGCGTGGTTGTGCCCGAATGGGTGGAGCTTCTTGTTGCTAGTAGTAAGAATTCTGCCATTAGCGATGCCAGGAGCCCCTAGTAGCGTCCTTGCTCCTAGTAGTAATGCTCTTTGTTACTAGTAGCGATGCCCTTGCTCCTAGTAGCTTTACTAGTAGTAAGGCCAGGAGCTACTAGTAGTAATGCTCTTTGTTTCTAGTAGCGATGCACCTTGCTACTTTTAGCTTCTTGTCACTAGTAGTAAGGCACCTTGCTAATACCAGCTGTTCACCTAGCCATTCCTTTGCGATTCTTCTTTTTCTACATGAAAAACAGTACAGCTCGAGATCACGAGACGACTTGGCAGGCTTCTGATGTGATAGATGAGTGGTACACTGTGCAACGTGCTTGGATGTACTTGGAGAACATTTTCTCGGCCGAGGCCGAGCAGCGTTATAGCACAGCTTTATCACGGCGTTAGCACAGCGTTAGCAGCATGGAAGAAGCCGCACGTTGGAGGCCATTGCTAGTAGGTTGGAGACCATCGCTATTAAAGGTTGGAGGCCATCGTTACTAGAAACAAAGAAAATAGGAAAGGAAGAAAGGAAGAATCTGCACGTGCACATTTTCAGGATATTCAGCGCCAGCTACCATCCGAAGCGGCAAAGTTCAAACAGGCCGACGTAGAGTTTCCACACACACAAGTGTTTCAGGAAGGACTTGGATCTTGCTTGACCCTAAGGTTGGTTTGTTTGGTTTGTATCACCTTGGTCGTTTCTTTCTCTCAGGAAAACCACTCGAGGTCGGTCTTCAACTATAAAGAGCCTTGTTTCTAGTAGCAAACATTGTTCCTAGTGCGGCCAGGAGCCCCGTTCGTAGCGTCCGATCGCTCCTAGTAGCGATGCCAGGAGCCACGTTCGTAGCGTTCTTGTTCCTAGTTGGTCCCTCTCTGGTGCCAGGTGGACAAGTTCTGGAAAGATCTCTTCCGGAAGGCTTGGGTATAAGCTGTTCCATTTCGACGGCAGAAGTGAATCCTAACTTCCCATGACTAGTAGCTTCTTGTTACTAGTAGTAATGGCCTCCACCCGAGTAGTAATGGCCTCCACCCTAGTAGGGATGGCCTCCACCCGAGTAGTAATGGCCTCCACCCGAGTAGTAAGGGCCTCCACCCGAGTAGTAATGGCCTCCACCCTAGTAGCTAGTAGCGATGGCCTCCAACCTAAGAGCGATGGCCTCCAACCTAAGAGCGATGGCCTCCAACCTAGTAGCGTCCTTGCTCCTAGTAGTAGGGCCAGGAGCCCACCCTAGTAGCGATGGCCTCCACCCTAGTAGCTTCTTGCTACTAATTTGAGATTTCGACGGCAGAAGTGAATCCTAACTTCCCATGACTTCCCCACACTCGAACAGTCCAGAATATGCAAAGACTAAATCTGCTTCTGTGATCACCCTGAGGTTCGTCAGAAGGAGAAGCTATGCATGGATGCATTTCACATTGCAGGGGTCCTGCCTGGCAAGTTTGCCCGCTTCAGGAACAGTTGAAACAAAGGCAGCCCTTATAAAGGTACTTTTTGACTTCCGGTCTGTAAACAGGTTGGAGGCCATTGCTTGTAGGTTGGAGACCAATACGTCTTGGTACATATCATATCACGTATTTCCGGTCTGTAAACAGATTAGTTCCCAAGAAGCTACTAGTAACAAGTGCATCGCTACTAGTAACAAGTGCCTTACTAGTAGTAACAAGAAGCTACTAGGAACAAGTGCATCGCTACTGTTCTGTGGCAGATTCTGGAGCGGCTGAAGTGGGCGAATGACACCCTGGACCATGTCGGCGCCTAAGAGGACCATCAACTTTCGAAAGGGACAGGATAAGAGGGATGACCAAATGCAACACATTTGTTTTTTTCATTTGACATTATTTTTTTCCCTTTAGACTTTAGACAACTTTTTCCTTGTTTTTTTAGACCTTTCCTTTCTTTGCTTTCTTTTGACCTTTCTTCTTTAAATTTTGTATTTAATTGACTTTTCTTTATAACTGTCTTTTGTTTTTTCCTTTTGACATCTTTTATATCTATTCTTTCTTTGCTCTTTGGTAAGTTTGGCAACGTGAGAAGTCCATGTCTGATGAGCCGAGTGTGTAATGATGTGAATGCCGGTAGCCACCACTTGGTTGCTTAAAAGGACACTAGTAGCTAAGTGCATCGCTACTAGTAACAAGTGCATTACTACTAGTAGCAAATAGCTACTAGGTTGGAGGCCATTACTGCTAGTAGCTTTTTGTTAGTAGTAATGCACTCAGCTACTAGTAGCGTCCTTGCTACTAGTAGCGATACACTGTGCCCCAGCTTGAGTTCTTACGCAACGTAAACGTTTAGTCACGTTCTTTTGATCTCTAAATACACAAGTAAACCTTTCGCTTTCTTGATGCAGTAGGGACTTTCCTGCCTTTGTGCATCATCCGCAGCTATTGAATCTGTATAGGTGCAGAAGCAATTGGAAGCTTACCTCGAAACCAAGCGAGCTGCATTTCCCAGGCGATTGCTTCGACAGTTGTTGCTGTGCTTTGTTTAGCATCTCTTGCGCCCTTCAAGTTCTTTTTTTTGAAATAAAACTAGATGATTTGGCGTTGCAACTTGAAAGACAAAGGTTCTATTTCCTGTCAAATGACGAGCTGCTCAGCATCCTGTCGCAAACGTTCGGACCTCCACTGAGTGTTTTGCACCTGCCGGTCTGCCCTGCTGCGTGCTGAGGCGAAATCCCCACGCCGTTCAAGAGCACATGTGTGCACCTGGCTTGGCCTTGTGGACAAAAGAGTTCTTGTTTCTGATTCAAGAGCTAAGGCTTTAAGGGTGACGTAGAGACATGTTTGAAGCAATTCTCAAACCTTTTGTGGAACCACTTTTGAACTCTTGTCGAATTCTGCCAGGCAAATGTTTCGATTCGATCAATCGCGTGGTCTTCTCCGAGGCAGAATCCAAGACTGGACCAAGAACACAATTGCCGTTCGGAAGTATTGTTCAACATTTAGGGGAAGTGGTTACCCTACGAGAAGAACATAAACCATGGCCTAAAGAAAAAAACAAAGAAAAGAAATAAATACAGAAGAAAAACAATAAATAAGTGCAAGAAAGGTTTATATTACAATAAAGAAACATTCATCAATCATTTCAAAACAACACATTGAGCGTTCTCTCCATTTGTGGCAAAGGGCTAGTGAAGGGCAAGACCATTGTCTCGTCCCGTTTGTCCTTCTCAGATGCCAGCTTTCTCAAGGGACTTCCAATTGGATCCTCAAGGGGGGCTTGAAAGGGAGGAACAAGGACGCTACTAACGGGGCACTCCTGGCCTTACTACTAGGAGCAAAGGGCATCGCTACGAACGGAGCAAGGACGCTACTAGGGGCTCCTGGCCATCGCTAGTAGGTTGGAAATGACCAGCTCTGCAGATCAGAAGCTTGGGGGTAAAAGGGTTTCGGGGCTGATGAAGCCTGCGGATAAAGCCACTCAACATCTACGGAACCATCTCAGATCCAAGCCTGGCTTCGAAGCTGGAGCCTACAGCTTCTCATGCCGAATGTTCTCTGCAACCCCGCCAAATGGTTCCAACTTGAAGCAAGCACTTGCAAAGTTATACTGAAGTCGGAGATAGGTTGACTCGTTTGATCATTGCAATTTCCCTATCTGCCATCCTTGGTGAAGCATGGGTGGCACGGCATTTCCAGAGTGTAAGATTCAAGAACCATTTGCTACTAGGGGCAAAGGGCATCGCTACGAACGGAGCAAGGACGCTACTAGGGGCTCCTGGCCTTACTACAAGGAGCAAGAAGCTATTGGAAACAAGAATTGAATAGAATTAGAATTTAAACAAATTCAAATTAGTAGCTTCTTGTTACTACTAGTAAGGCACTTGTTACTACTAGCGATGCACTTGTTACTGATGACATTATATTCTGATCAATCCACATCTGGGCACCGTGCCGTACGCCTTTCAAAGCGCTTTGCAGACTGCCCCTGCGGAAATCGTCGGCATGTCCGACATGATCAAGGAATATGTCCGCCAGTCAGATTTTACGTGGGCTTGTATCCAAACTCCTTCTTGTAAGGAAAGAGAAGCCAGAAAGAAAGGAATAGAAGAAGAAGCTACTAGGGGCTCCTGGCATCGCTACTAGGAGCGATCGGACGTTACTAGGGGCTCCTGGCCTTACTACTAGGAGCAGGACGCCACTAGGAACAAAAGGAAAACCATCATAAATCATATGCGTTTTTTTCAGAGCGAGGAGAGCACAGGTTCGAGCTTTTGGTGCCGAGGTCCCCTTTGTCCAGCCGGTCGTTACCGGTCCGATCGTGGAAAAGTGGCTGAGCGACATTGAGGTTGGAACCTTGGTTGTTCCTAGTAGCTTCTTGTTACTAGTAGCTTCTTGCTACTACTAGTAAGGCACTTGTTACTAGTAGCGAACATTGTTACTACTAGTAAGGCACTTGTTACTACTAGCGATGCACTTGTTACTACTAGAGCAAGCTACTAGGGAGCTTGCGGGAAGAGAAGAGTAAACATATAAAACAAGAAAGATCTAACGGTTCCAAATGAAGAAAAAGAGTCTAAAGTGAGGCGACGTCTCAAGGTTCAATGAAAGAAAGAACGTCAGAAAACAACTTTGTCTAATTGTCTAAAGTTCAAAAGAAAGAACACAAAATACAGGTTAATAGGAGAAAGGAAATGAAGGAAATGAAGGAAAGGAAAAAGGCGGAATTTGGGCAGAACAAAACCGCAAAAAAAAACAATCAACACAAACTACAAATGCTTGCCGTTGGTAAAGCGGCGCGTCTTCCTTGCTTGTAAGGTGCTATGTTTTCTTTGGAAAGAACAAACGAACGCAATCTGACTCTGCCATCGCATCAGAAAAACTGTTTGACAGTTGGGTTTCGAGAAACACAAATAAAGATACATTTTTTTTTATATTTTTTTTTAAAGCAACCACAAACAACAACGCTGCGCCGCTGCGCTCAATTATGGATTGAACTGTATGCAACCGTACAATGTGTGCGTGAGAATGCTCCACACCCTGACCTGTAGAAGAGGGTCCAACAGCATGTAGAGATGCTACTAGGGGCTCCTGGCATCGCTACTAGGAGCAAGGAAGCTACTAGGGGCTCCTTGTAGAACTTCTGCTTTCACAAAGTTCCGTTTGAAATGGTCCTCCTTTGTAGTTTAGGTTGGAGGCCATTACTATTAGGTGATTGAACATGCTTCGTTTTGCCTAAGGTTGCCATGGTGAACGGCCTCTATGACTCCAGCAAGAGAGCCTTGTTGGCCTATCCGGAGGCCTCAAACACCCGTGGGAGGGAGTTTTCTTCTTTCTTTAGACCTTGTTACTATACTCGTAGCTTCTTGTTACTAGTAGCGTCCTTGCTCCTAGTAGTAAGGCCAGGAGCCCCTAGTAGCGTCCTTGCTCCTAGTAGTAAGGCCAGGAGCCCCTAGCAGCGTCCTTGCTCCTTTTCTTTCTTTTCTTTCCTTTCAACCTTTCAACTTTTCAACCTTTCTTTTTCCTTGGAATTTCTTGAGACCTTTCTTTCAAATCATTCAGCATTGCTCAAACTGTAAAGAGGCGTTGACAAACACCCGCGGAAGGACGGCACAAATCGGACTCAGTGGCTTCTTGAAGGGGAGTTGCAAGCTGAGTGGGCAGCGGGAGTGTTTTTTTTTAATCTTCATTTCGTTTTTGACGTTCGTTTAGTTCCTACTAGCTTCTTGTTACTACTAGTAAGGCACTTGTTACTAGAAGCGACGCACTTGTTCCTAGTAGCTTCTTTTCTCGTTTATGATTAGTTTTTTGCAATTTGTAGAATTGACTCAAATAAATTCATGTAATCCTTAGTAGGTTTCAGCATGGCTGCATTTGAGATTTGAGGTATTCTGCGCAGTCCAAGATTTTGGTTGACCAACAGTTCTGGACCGCTGAGACGGAGAAGGCACTTTGAATTTAAGGTCTTGGACTTGATTCTTTAGACTCAAGCTCCTGGCATCGCTACTAGGAGCAAGGACGCTACTAGGGGCTCCTG